CTGCAACCTTGGTGCTAATTGCTACAAAAAAAAAGCAATTGTGGAGTCTGATTTTATTTACCAATACTCTTCGCCTAACAAACCAACTACCAGTCATTAAGATTATTGCCGAGTCACTGCAAAATGGGCAAGTGGAGAGCCAATAAGAAAATAAACTCCTACCAAAAAATCGCTCTTGAATGCAATGCATTTACAAAAACGTTTTTTTCCTTCTGTCCTACTAATTTCATTCTTAAACCAATATGATATACTCATCTACGACGCCCTTAGCTCTCCCACAAAAAATTGCATATCTGGAATGTGTGTCAGGTTTGTGGCGCAGCAAAATTTCTTTAAAGTTCGTTAGTGTTAGGGTTAGCATTTAGAATAGGGTTAAAGGTTGGGTGAATATATAGCAAAATCGCCTAAAAAAACTTTTTGTTAGAGCACTAAAACCGGTTTCTTATACAGATTTCCGAGAAATAGGCGATTTTTGACAAAGTGAACGTTTGTTTTGAATTTTTCGGATCGTGTTACATTACACCAGATCTTGAAATCTTGATTCGCAGTTTAGAAAATATGCGCCACGGTTGCGCCACAAACATGACACACCAGATATGCCAAAAAATTGTTCACCCCCTGTAATTTTGACCAATCGAATTTCAGGATCAGGTGTAACGTAAAAATCGAAACGAACCCATTTTTTAGGCATTATATTGTTCTAATCCTAACCCTAATTATAACCCGGTTTTCTTGGTTTTCATTTTACACGTAACTTTTTTACTTAGAAAACAAACCAAGTTTGTTTTTGACACCTGATCTTAAATTTTGATCGGTCAAAATTACTGGGGATGAACAATTTATTGTGGGAACGCTACCTAAATTCTCCGCTACTATTACGCATGTAATAATTAACTAACACTTATCGTTATATCATTCGTCATTTAACAATCATATGCGATCATAATCCTAACCAATAAAAACCTAGTAGCCATCACAAAAAACTGTCTATAAACGGTAAATTAGTACGTAGTCATGTGTGAGAAAATTGATCTCCAAAATCGGTGTCATGAGAAAATTGTGATCTGTACAAACGTATTAACACTTACTATAATATACTAAAAAAGGATTTTGCAAAAATGAGCATAGCGAACATCAAAAAAGTTGAACGGAACCATCCCTCCACATTACTGGTAAAAAACTCGAATATGTATGACGATTACGTTAATTAATAATTATAAGATATTGAGCGTACGATAAAAAATTCACTGTTATTTTCGTATGTCCAATATTGATATTGTTCATATTATATTAGCATGTGAAATTTTTTGTCGTGACATTATGCATAAATGATGATGTCATTTTTATGACAAAAATATCAATGCAAAAAATTTTTACATGATCATATCACATGAACAATAACAAAAAAAATATTGATATGTGTTATATCGGAATAATTCGGTCTGATTAGTTTGTGCATAATTCAGGCTGGCTGTCAACATGACTGTTAGTAGCTATAATGTGAAAACGGCAGGGAGAAGGCTGGCGCACATTGATGTCAGTTAAAGCTTAATTGGTGATGGCTGGTGGGGTGCTTTTCACTGAATTAGTCTTTTTCTCACAGTATCCATTATTAGGTTAGGAATACTATATGGGGAAGGTCATTTGAATCATACTCCTCCTGTAATCTTGATTATGCGGTATTGGTCCTATTCCTGTTGCTATTTTCACAGGGCACATTGCCCGCTTAGCACCGTTGACTTTGTCAACTCCTTTTTTCCATATATTTCGCCATAACAGTGTATTATTCGAGGCTTTTTTTAGAAACTTATTATCAAGATCGATATATCAATCTTTCTTTTTTGCGTGACCCAGGGTTATCTACGTCATAAAACAATTGACCAATCAAAATATCTAGCCAATAAAACTGCGATTTGAAAATTGTGTATTATATAATGATTTGATCTACATAGTACACTGACGTTAGGTTACAAAAATATAAAATTACCGATTCGGACTGCAAACAATTACTGACTCTTCCGTTTTGGTTTCACGCATTTTGTCGCAAGAATGGCTACAGAATTTTTCAAAAAACTTTCTAGTGATTTAACAAGTCTTCTTGAAAATGGCGAAGATTACAATGTATTAATTGAAGTCGGTCAAATACCAAATCGTCAGATATTTAAGGTTCACTCAATTATTTTGAATTCCCGATGTTATTATTTTCGTGATGAACTTGTTAAAATAACTTATGATGAGAAGAATGTTAAAAAAAATTAGTAAACCACATATTTCCGCTATTACTTTTGAAATTATTATCAAGTAAGCCACGCTTATATTATTACCTATATTATTACCAATGAATCGGATTTTAATCAATATAATTTTAACGTTTAAATCTTTAATTATATAGATATATTTACGGTGGTATTGTCTCATTTGATAAAATCGATGCACCTACAACCTTTAATCTTCTCATTACTGCTAATGAGCTTGGACTTGAAGAACTAGTTAATAATACGCAATCACAGTTAGTTGAAAGTCATGCTTCATGGATGCGTCGGAATTTCACTAAAACTTATAAACTAAGTTTCGAAAATGATAATTTTAAAAAATTACAGGAATTTTGTAATGACATTATTGCTAAGCATCCAAATGTTATTCTTGATTCTGAAGACTTTACAGGTCTTTCAGAAAAATCCTTAGTCTCTATCTTAAAGCTTGACAATTTACAAATGGATGAAGGAAAAATTTGGGATCATGTCATTAGATGGGGAATTGCACAAAACCCTGACTTAAGTTCTAGTCCCACACGGTGGTCTGATGAAAAATTTTTAATCTTAAATACTATACTTAAAAATTGTCTGCCTCACATCCGATACTTTCAAATGACTGGCGAAGATGTTTTGGAAAAAGTACAACCATATCATCGAATTCTAGAATCAGAATTATGGAAAGATATTATGGCAAAATTTATGACTCCAAATAAAGCTATTACTTCAATTGTTTTACCTCCTGAATAGTCTCAGTTACTGAATTACCATCAAGAAATACTTCAGCTATAACTTTAAGTCGTAAGTAAAATAATAATATTATTAATTCGCTTAATGATTTGTACATGATTAGTAACATACTTTTTATTTTTTTAAAAAAAAAAAAAACAAAAAAAAATTAGAAAGTAAGTATAAAACGAAAACTTTGATATAGATCAAATAAAGTTTATAAATTCATATTATTAATGTGAATTTATACTCAAGCCTCTAAATATATATATATACTTCTGTTTATATTATTACATTTTTTTTAATTGCTTTATATATTCTCTTAGTTCGTGAGTATAAAGTTTTTCGATAAGCAATTGTCAAAATGTAAGTATTGTATAACATTTCAATAAATTTTACTGTGCTGTAAGCTATCCCTTTTTTTAATTCATTTTTCTATGCATGCTAATATAAGTTAAAAAATAGAATAATAAGTTGATAAAAAAAACTTTATCAAAACTATTTATGAAGCGAGCCCAATCCCCTCACTCAAAACTATTTATGAAGCGAGCCCAATGCCCTCACAATGTTTTAAAGGACACTACTTGAATACGAAATATTATGATCAGTGGTGGTGTGACGTGTGCGGAAAAGAATATCGTGCAACGGTAAAATTTTTTTAATCGTAAAAGGTGTACGGTATATACAGAGAGACCTCTCTAAGTGCACCCTCTATAAATGCACCTATTATGTAAAATCTCTTTAAATGCACGGTATAATCTAGTCCCAGCTTATAATTGCTCTATATATTTTTCTCTCTATAAATGCACACCCTCTCTAAGTGCACATGTTTAGAATTTTTCACTATACCCCCGAGGGGGTGCACTTAGAGAGGTCTCTCTGTAGATATATATTTACTTTTTAAATATTTTATAGGAAACCGGTTGTTGCAGAATTTGCGATTTCGACGCGCCTTGTCCATTGTAGGCCTGGACAAAAATGTGTGCCTAGTCTCTGCGAAAACAGGCATCCTCTTTATATGCAAATATCATCCGCATCATCCGCATGGACATGTAATGAATGTAAAAGTGTACATGGATCCGATATCAAGTATCATTTAAGATGCGAGAAATGTAATTATGACATATGTTCCCATTGTTTAAGCTTAAAAAACTTAACTAAGCAAAGTTGACTCAAATTGGAAACGCAGTAGTTTAATAATAAAAAAAAACTTAATGTAAGATTTATATTTTGAAATAATAAAATACTTTTATTATTCATTTCAATTTCATCCAAACCTATTATTTCATTTTCATATACGAGCATTGATTCAAGTTCTCAACTACACGTAATTTCATTATATTTTTTTTTCGATAAATTATATTGTTATTGCTAGAGTGATCCTGTTTTATTCTTCATACGTTAAATCCGATTTTAATCGATTTTAACATATGAAAAATTTTCGCTTAATCGTGATTAAATGTTTATTTATGTTATAAGGCAGATGCTCAATGCTGTCGGGTCAAAGACATTTAAACCTACCGTTTAATAACCGATCGAACCCATTCTTATTATAGTAAACTTTTTTAACAATCATTTGAAATACTAAGATTAATGAAGCTTTAAATATTTTATATATCGTTAGAAGTTGGTTTAATTTTATATATCTTGAAACGCATATAGAATACAATAGAAATAATAATTGGCTGAAGCTAAGGGAAGCGAAGCGAATGCCTTCAAGATATACTCTACGAATTTCGGAAATGTCCGGCTCCCGGTTACACTGATTCAAATTTTAGGCCGTGTATCCAGAAATTGAACCTAAATCAGGTTCAATGTTTGGATACCGAATTCTTGGTTTAAAATATAGTAGCTGACTTTTAATAGAATTTATTATACGGCTCCTAATTGTCGCCCATGACTTTTTTTATCGATATTTTCACAATTTACATTCTCACATATGATATGTTCACATTTGATATTTTCACATATGATATTTTCACACTTGATATCTTCACGGCTGATATTTTCACGGCTGATATTTTCATGGCTGAAGTTTTTATAATCAATTTTTTTAAATTATGTGTTGGCTTAAAAATTTAAATAAAATCTAAATTTTTTTATATACTGATTTAAAAAGCTTAAGTTCAGTAAGATGCAAGTTTAAATTTATAAAAAACTATTATCGCAATATGTTACATGCATAGAAAGATAATAATTGTGCTACTCAACAACTCTTTCCAATGATCCTCTGGACAATGCAACAAAAAACCAAACTACAGAAAAACAATATAGGAAGTCTTAAGATATATACTATTTTCAGTCTTGTCTTTGAATAAGCAGTTGTCAACAAAGCCTAAAGACATGAAACACCAAGGAGCAGGCATAATTTGGGTTGGTTTTCTTGGGGTCAAGCTTTTGTTTTTGGTAGGCTCTTCAAGATTTTTGACATCCAAATCAGAAGGTTTATTCTGGGAACTGAACTTATCTTTGAACAGGTTGTTGTCAACAAGGCTTGAAAGATATAAAACACTGAGAAGCAGGCATAACTTAAGTGGTTTTTCCTAGGGTCAAGCTTTCTTGTATTAATGAACTTCTTAGGATATTTAGCATCCAAACTAGAAGGTTTATTCTAGAAGCAAGTAGTAGAAT